AGTGGTGATCCTACGGGAGATATGGAAGACAATTAAAAAGAACCATGAAGCTGAGTTTGCTACTAGCTATTCACCACCGACCTCTATTCGACTGCCATTTATGTGGTTTGTGCACTACTTTGGCTGAACCAACTTTCATATGAGGGAGAGAGGAGATGTTGGAAAGGTAACCATCATTGACATGATTTTATATCATGCTCTCCTGAACAACTATGGCTTCATTCAACATGGTTGGTGGTTGACAACCTTCTGAGGTACACCACTATTACTTCTCCATGAGGACTTTCAGGGGGAGGCTATATTCTTGCTATATCCGATCAAATCGACGATCATAGTGAGGAGTATGTATTCGCTCTTTGGGATACTCTAGTGAGGCAGAGGCCAATCCACCGATAACCATCTTTCATCTTTGGAGTAGAGAGTGTGACAAGCAAGGGAGTAGACCTTGTCAACATGGAAGGTGATGGGAAGACGAGTAGTGCACTTAGAGAGGATACACGAGCATCAAGGCTATGGAGCTGGCCATCCACCACTACCACAGCATGGAGGTCGTGGAGCTGAGCTTGCATCCGTGAGAGCAGTCGTGGAGAGGCAAGAGGAGAACTTGCTCGCATACCAGACCATGGATGAGCAACACTGGAATGCCTTTGGGCAGGAGAGACAGACGGATCCTGAGGAGACTCAAGCTTGGTGCTAAAGGATGGAGGTGAATAGTAGTGGGGCCGTTTGTGGATGGGGGATATTGGCAGAAGTTCCACGTCCTCTTTCCTGGAAGTGGAGCTAGGGCTGCAAATGGTCCGAGTCGAGCCGATTTTTACCCCAGTTTGATCTTCACTCGTTTACTAACGAACTGACTCGAGTCGAGTTCGAGCTTGTTTGCTTAATAAAATCTTGACTCGTATTGGATATATTCATTTGTATGTCATACATGATACATGTGATTAATGTCGAGATGAAGAAAATGATAATAATAATAATAATAATAATAATTAAGCATTCAATATTAACTAATCTCATGTTATACTTTGTGGTATCAAATTATTTAGTTAGTAAATGTTAATAGTGAAAATTATGTTATTTCACAATATCGAAGCACTCTATGATACATAATTGCTTTTTAAAATTAAATCAAACATTTTGCTAACATAATCTACGTGTTAACTTCATATAGAGTGAGATATATAATTTAAAAATCCTATGAGTTATCAAAATCAAACTCATATAGATCGATTAGCTCATAACTTGGTAATCGAGTTGGCTCTCTAGCCACAATGTTGAGAGTTGAGACATCTCATAAGCTCTAAACGAGCCAGCTCACGAATTGAGCTAAACAAGCCACCGAGTGGAGCTAGCTCGCGAGCTCCGCGAGCTGCAGAAGTCTAAGCTCAAGCTCGGCTCATTAGTAAACGGGTCGAGTTTTGAACGAGCTTTTTCCTAGTCGAATGTAGGAAGACCCAACATCTAGGAGTATCAAGACTTTTAGGGTGCTATCTTTTTCTTTATTTTGATTTAGACATTTCAAGTCTTCTTATAAATTCATGGAGAACTAGGTACTCTGAACTATGAATTCAAATTTAGAACGACAATCAAGGTAACTTGTTCTGACCTTACTATGACTCACTATCTCTTAGTCCGTTAAGGACAATTTCATTTTAAAGTGTGGGGCGTGAATGTGTTGAGATTATTTGCCTTTATATGCTTACTACTTGCTATATGATTAGTCTTTTCGATGATTATATGATGATCATGGTTGTTTATCTAGCATGAATGCTTTCTTATCATTGATGCTTATGACTCTATTATATGCTACTATATGCATTGTGCTTAGTATCATCTAGGTTGTTAAGAAAATATCCTCTAGTGATACCCCATTGATGCTACACGGGTATAGAGAAAATGATCCACCATCTATGCCTAGAGAAGTATCAATGTTTGATTGTTAGATCACCGATGCTATGGAACTTCGATTATAGCTTAAGAGGGTCACCCTTAATCATGTGATATCCTCACTTCTCTATTCTTCATTGATTAGGTGATGGCATGAAATGAAAGCACGCATTAGCTATTCAAGTTCCTATTGCATGTGGCAAAAGCTCGAGTAGGATGGCCTTAGTAGAAGGGATAGAGTGATGCTAATGATGAGTCATTGATGCATGGTATGAATGAGTATTGATATGTATGATATTACTCGAGTATGATTGTTTGTTCAATAATATATCTTTACTTTTATGCATCTATAGAACTTGAAAACCCCCTAAACAACTTTACTCTTCTTGCCTCGTTTATTTTAATCGAATGAAAGCCCCCTAAAAGTATTTACTATTCTTGTTCGAGCATAAATGGTATGGTGTGAGTAGTTATGCATTATAAGACCTTGTGAAATACAACCCTAGGGCATTCTAGGACTTTTAAAAACTTGCATGAATATCGCATCAAGCTATTATTGGACGACAGAAAGGAAGAACTAAAGGTGCATTAGAGCGACGAAAAAATCACAAAGTTCAATCAAAACCACTTGTTTTTCCCTCCTCTTTATTTGCTTTTATAATATACAAACTATTGTACTATTTTGTTATATGAATAATTTTATTAATATTCGTATATGCAAGGTTAGAAGCTGAAAACTAGTTCTTTTCAACAAGTTGGAAGTAGTACTGAACTGCAAGATAGAATAACCAACTTTTACTTTATCTTTTTATATCCCAAAGAAACATATGAATTATATCTTAACGATTGGCCAGTTTAGGTGATGATCAGACATCGATTTCAAAGTTCAATTATTAGTTCAAGAGGAGAGAACTTTGAATTCTACGCCTGATGTAATCAATATATCATCCACAAACTTTGTTAAAAGTATGAACTCAATTCGATTGTTTATTTATTTCTTCATTTCTATTAAAAATCTCAATACTAATATCATTCTTATCTTAATTCACTTTGCAGGATGCCATGACAAATCCACATGCGCACGGTCCTAAAAAATCATACATTTTCCCCCCGAGTAGGATTATTATTATGTTTGAAAAAAATTATTTTTGTAGAATTAATTGTAACTAGACTTAATTCATTTGATATTATTTTCTTAGACGGTGCATTTTCTATGAGCGTCTTCTTATTTAGAAGATTCATTTGCGACAACTCATTTTAAGATTAATTGATTTATTCTATGAGAATTATTCATTTGATATTATGTTTTTTTAATAATGATGTGATATTATGTTCTTGAAACTTTGGATTCATTCAATATGAACCTATCTCTAGATGGAATATGCCTTGTACATTATTAGAAGTTAATATGCGTCCAATAGTACGTGAATGAGAAAAGTCTGTATGCATATTATTATGGCATTTCTCTCCGCCCAAGTATTCTCAAAATAGTATTTTTCCCAAAAAAAATTACTCTCCAAATATATTATAGTATATAAAAGCTAAATCTAAAAAAATATTTACAAAGGAGTCAAAAATAAATTAACACAAAAATCTCGTCCTTCCCGCCCATCCGAATTCCATTTCTCTTAATTCCGTCGAAAATATTACTAGTTAATAATTAATTTATATAATTTTCAAAAAATAGTGGGGTCAGGGGTGGCACGTGGAAATGTAGCACCGTTGGGCTGCAATTAGTACAACAGCCAAATTTGACCCTGTCAAATATTGTTTGGCTCGATGTGTTTATTGCTATAAGAGTGACTTTAAATCATTAGTGTGTTATTTACAACTCAAGCATATAGTAAATCGTGTTTAAGAGTCGAGTCCCGTCACTTGCCAAAAAGGACCAGTGACAATTGATCGTGATTAATAAAATTCGGACGAAAACTCTAATGGAGAGATATGTTTGAAAACTTTATTGTTGTAAAGCGGCAGATTTAATATGAAAAATTGTAAAGGGACAAATTTGAAAATTTTGTATAATAAAGACACATATTATACTCAAATTAAATTTCCTCTATACAATAATATACTTGATACAATACTAAAAGGGTCAGTGTGGATTGTGGAGTTTGCATCAAATAAAAACACAAAAGAATCAAAATCCAACTGTTTCTATAAAGGGTGAATTGATGTTCATCGGTTTCCAAGAAGTTACCTTAAAGTGAAACAAATAAATTGAAGCGGATCTCTATCATAAAGTTGACGGTGAGGTAAAGATGGGAAATGGGCGAAACTGGTAACACAAATGTTTTCCGCCAACTAAGGTCGTTCACTCACAATTCACTTCCCAATCTCTTTTCCCTAGAGACCCGCTCTCCTCAATCACTCATCCATTCTTCATGCTTCCATTCATTTTCCTCTCAACCCTCCATTCTTCCTTTCTATTCTACTCTACCATGAAAAACAAACAATGATAATAATTCATATAATATCAATATTAAGAGGGAAAAACAAACGAGCAAAAAGGAAGGAAGAAAAGGAAAAAATAAGTTAGATGATAATATCAATGAAAATAAACATTAAAAGGAGAAAAAAAGAAGATCACAACAACGACAAAACATCACAAACAATAGTTGAACAATCTGGTATTCTGGTGGCTATAGACTCTCGCTCATTTTCATTTTCAGTTTTATTTTGGTTTGTTTGTTTACTTAAGTTGTTTTGGGTTGGAAACTGTGTTTGGTGATCTTCTCAAGCAATCAATTGAAGCTTTGTTGTAGTACAAATTTGGGAAGATATCAAGGACCATCCACCTTCTTTATCTTTTGGAGCTTGACTGCAAATTAATTCAGACAAAAAAGAAACGTCACTCAAGGTATCCAATGTGACTATGTCTCCTTGTTCATCCCCTCAACCTTATTTTCCATTCTCCCTTTACACATCTATTATGAAAATATTTTAATTTGCCTTGATATTTTGTTCCTCGCTTCACATGAGTTTTCTCTTATCATGATACCCATGGGGAATGTTATATATTCTTTGAATGGATTATTCATGTATGTTAGTATTTATGATTGGATTTTCTTATGGAAGGTGTTGGAGGAGGCTATAGACCGGTTAGGGAACAAATGTCCGCAGTTGATAGCGGTCGTGAATCCCTTGCCGGCTTGACCCTTGATGCCGTGTTGGGAAATAATAAGAGATCCGCTCCCGGTCAAGTGAATGCAGCCACCGCGGCGCACATGAACAAGACCCTACTCGATATCATCCGCGATGAAGATCCCCACCGCTCCTTGTTTGGCCATAAGGATAAGAAGAGCTGGAAAGCGTTCAGAGAAAGGCTTCGGCTTCGGAGAGCAGGAGCTGCGTGGACTTCCTCCATTCAGATCCCCACATCCGATCTGCCTATCCAGAAAACCAACTATGGAAATGCTCCTAGATCTATGATGTCTCGTCGCAACTCTGTCCGATTCACAACCATGTCAAATTCTGACACCGTCGACGACCATCCTCCTGAGTCCAAACCACAAATGTCGCGTCGAAGTTCCAATAGGTACGGGTCTGCAATGACAAGTAGTCATACAGATGGGGAAGAGTTTGCAGTGGACACTCCTGCCGTTGGCGATGAGATTCCGGCTCGAAGCTTTAGACCGCAGATGTCAAGGCGGAACTCCGTTCGGACATCGACTCCTGGGATGCATGATGAGGAGGAGGAAGCTGCACACCATGGGAATCGACGAGTAGGTGGATCATTGGTAGAGGAGAGGGTATTGTCAGCCAGGGAGGCAATTACAGCGCAGGAGGCTGCGGAAGCAGCTGCCGCACAAGAGGCAGCCTCTGCGGATCATATTGGGGTAGCTGAGGCGGAGGAGGAAGAGGAGGAATTTAATGATGTTGGGGATGGAGAGGGTGAAGGAGAGGGAGGAATGGGCATGTCACTTATGGATTTGTTAGAGGAGACTGATCGAGAGATGGGGTTTGAAGGGGCAAGGTATGTGGTAGGGGAGGACAATGAACAAACTTACTATGAGGATGATGATGAGGATGAAGGTGGAGGTGTTGTTGGCGGGACAGAGCATACGTGTTGTGTGTGCATGGTCAGGCATAAAGGCTCTGCGTTCATTCCCTGTGGTCATACCTTCTGTCGACTCTGCTCAAGGGAGCTTTGGGTTCAAAGAGGGAATTGTCCACTTTGCAATGGTTTCATCTTAGAAATTCTTGATATCTTCTAATTCAATTTTATTTTGGTAACAATGTCATCCTCTTGCTTCATCCCACCCTCCCCTCCCCTTCATCGAACTTATCTTGTATGGTGATTATATTACCATTATTTTCTCACCATTCCAAAAAAATAAAGACAAATTGGTTTGACTAGAATTTCGTACATTACTATAGTTAGTATTATCTAGACGAGGAACACTTTTTTATTTTCTCGAACATGAATACAAGTATTCACTTTGACCATGTTCATCTGTTTCGTCAATTTTTAACGATTCAAGTATAACATAAGCAAAATCATTTTTAACGTACTACATAAAAATTGGTTTCTAGTAATGGGAATTTTACCCTGTATGAGGAAGTACATCAACAGTCACGCAAAAATATCTTGTATGTAATTGTATCACTACATTCACCGAAATTAATAAAATTACTTTTGAGCCTTCGTTCACGTGATTAAATTTTTATTACATTAAAATTCTAGTAGATTATATGAAAAAAAATCATTAATTTTTTTGTGATTAATGATTTATCTTCGGTCATCTTTTCTTTGTCGTTCTGATAAGTATCTTCCTGGTCTCTTACAGAGTCGACTTTGGTCTCGTTTACATTTTACAGTCATCGGAAGTAGCTATGCTCACTCGCGACTATTGTAAACCTACAACGGGATTACTTATTTTCTTCTCTAAATCACCTAAGTCGGTAGGTGCATACGGGTTGCCTCTCTTTAACTTCTTCCTTTAGTCTATGCCTATAATTAAGAAGTTGTTTCCTTATACAAATACACGTTGTTTCCCTTGTATTAGTACACATGTTAGTTAATTAGGAATAATCATAAATTAAAAGATATCATGTTGATTGTTTTGGGTAGGAAATTTTGTTAATAATTTACCTGAGTTAACGTGGTGGTTTCACGTCTACATTCTTCACCAAATGATCCCCAAATTCAAGTGTCTTCGACATTGATTTTGTCATTTATAATGATTAAATTATGTTTAAATTAAACAATAACATCAAAATATTGTTTGAATTATAATTACTACCTACAAAAAATAATGAGCTGATTATAGAAAAAAATGATAAAGCTTACACTAAAATAGATTAGGGTAAAACGCTAAAGATGAAGAATTTGGCACTTTGGCCTTCCCCGGTGGAGCAGATCCACTTTTTGTGAAACTAGAAAGCCAAATATAGTTCCAAAAATCTTAGGTAGTACGTTAAAAATTGGGGCGTCGCACATTTCCACTGCTTGGTCTTATAGCTCTGTTTTTGCTCTGATCCTGAGAAAATCTTTATCCTTAGCTTTGGTCTTACAACGTTGTTTCTTAGGGTGGGCAACGGGAAACGGGTATTTGGGTATATCCAAACCCGTCCCGTTTTTGGAGGGTTACGGGTACCCAAATACCCGATATATTTATTGCGGGATGGGATTTGGGTTTAAGAATCTCAACTTCGGGTACCCGCTAATACCCGTTTGAGTAGTTTGGGTACCCGTATTACCCATTAAAATTATTAAATTCATTTAACCAAATTAAAACCCAGCCCAATCCCAGTGCGCAATCCAACCCATTTCTTCATCCAGACTAGGCCGCCAGGCCCTCTCACTTACCACTCCCTCACTCGGCCCTAAAGGGATTACTCTCCTCTCCATGGAACTAGGCTGCCGCTGCTGCCTGCTGCTCTACAGCCGCCAATTTCATATTGTTGAATGTTGTTTGAGCCTCGACGCCCTGCTAACACGCCCGCCTCCTTTCTGTCCGGCGCCTGCCTACACACACTAGCACAGAGGGGGGCGCCTCAGCCCGTTAGCCCTCCGACGATCAAGTCAGTAACTTAGAGCGAGAAGTGCTTTAGAGCTAGAGTTTTAGTGAGAGAGTCCAACCTGTGTAAATGCTACCAACTGCCTCTATTTATACTCACCGAATTCGAGATGGATCTCCTCCACATCATCATCTCATTAAATGCTTTGTACCTCCATTCCTGTCAGAAGCCCCAACCACCTTGTCAGGCTTCCGACAGCTGGCGGCGCCCACAGGCGGGGGACTACTTGCCAGCTTGGACCTCTTTGGCCCCTAGTGCTTTGTTATTCATGCCTATGCTGCCCAATGGGCTTTGTGGGCTTCTTTTCCTGGCCCATTGCCTTGGGCTACTTTCAACTGGATGGGCTCTTTCTTGGGCTCTCTTTTGGGCCCCTTTAGTAACACCCCCAACAATTGCCCCTCAGTTAGGTGCTCAGGGTCTTTTACCTGAGCGCCTAACTTACCCCTAGGTCGGGGCGCTTCTTACAAGTCTTCATCTCTCAAGGGGCGCCGGTTGCCCCTTTAAGCATAGCCTACTGACACCCAGGTCCTTGTAGTCGTTCAACACTTTCCTCGCTCCCGGACTCCCGCTCGTGTGAACGAAGGCTCTTGGGCGCCCTCTTTGTGATTACGACCTGGGTTTTGCCCTGGTAAGACGCCTGATCAGGGCGCCTGGGTGCCCCCCTCACGGGCCGGAATTTGAGCCTCATTTTTGGATATTCTTTTTAGCTTCCAATTCTAAATTTTGAAAGTCGAAATTTGAAATTCAAAATAAGGGGAGCTCAAAGGACCGCCCGTGACTTGGTGACACGTGTAAGTTGGCGCGGACTTCGATACGCGCCCTTCCTCCCTTTAAATATCTCTGCCTCCCTTCTCCTTGTCATTTTCCTCATTTCGCTCTCTCTACATTTTCGCTCTGCCTTCTCTCTAGAATTGCTCTGCCTTCTCTCTACTTTGAAGCTCTCCGCCGTCGGCCCTCTCGTCCACACTTTGCAATCAAATGGCCTCTCCACAAGACCGAACCTCCGATGCGGGCGCCTCTCCCAATCGATCCTCCAACGCGGGCGCCTCCCCCAATCGTTCCCCCGACGCGGGCGCCTCCCCCAATCGCTCCGCCGGTCTGGAAGCGGGCGCCACACCTGTTCGCCCTTCACAATTTGGTGCAGGCGCCTCCCAGCGTCCCTCTGCTTCTGGTAAGCGCCCTGTCATGGACTCCTTAACTGATCTTGTAGGTTTTAGGCGTGAGTGAGATTCTTACTTCGACTCAGCATTGTACGTCTGGTTCGTTCTTGGTTTAGATAGGGCGCCTGAGTCTGCGGGAGGAGCGAGCGCTCCACCCTGGGCTACGTGCCAGCCGACGGTTCTTATAAGATCACCACTTGAGACAAGATGTTTCCCCCTGATCATCTGCCCACTGATACTACCGGCCTTTCGTTCGAGGAGGGTGGTCCGGAGTAGGGGTGGGCAACCGGTTCGGTAAACCCGAACCGAATTAAACCGAACCGAAACTGAATTAATGCTATTCGGTTCGGAATTCGGATGGAAAATATGGATATTTCGGAAACCAGGGTTCTCTCAACCGAATCGAATTTTCGACCGAAAAACCGAAATACTATAATTTCAAGCTCTAAATGGTGGATTTTTATGTTTGCAGTTGCTTTTAGACTTAAATATTTGAAATATTTTATGACTTATGAGTTGAAAAGTTTGAGTTTATCATTAATGATGCATATAATTACATATTTATTGGTTATATTAGGGATAAAAAAAATTTAAAAGTGAGAAGATACAAGTAGTTTAACAAATTCGGTTTTGTGTGAGAAACCGAACCGAACCGAATTATAATTCGGTTTAAACCGTCCGAACCGAATTATAATTCGGTTCGAATTCGGTTTGAGGTTTGGGAGAATTTGGGGACCCGATATTCATAATTTCGGTTTGGTCGAAACCGAACCGACCGAATGCCCACCCCTAGTCCGGAGCATCAATCGACTGTGACCTTGGCGCGACTTCATGAGTTGGTGACCAATCTTCAGCTCCCGCACGACTGGTGTTACGCGCCTCCGTCGGCCATCTCTAGGGTTGGCGTGTGCGGACCTAAATGGATAGGGGTCTACCAAGGATACTTTAGGTTTGGGTTGTGATTTCCCATAGACCCCATCCTGGAAGGGATCCTGACGATGTGCGAGTGCCCGTTGGGGCGCCTATCCCCTTCAGTGATGGTGGTGGTGACGTTGTTTAAGTTGAAGTGCCAGGTGCACAACGTGAGGCCCACCTTCAACCTTTTCAGGTGGTTTTTTAACGTGGCGCCCCTCGACAACTGCCTCTCCCTTCAGAAGCGTTCCAAGCGCCCATATCACTTCGTCGTTAGGTGCCCCAAGCTGGGGCGTAGTTGGTTCAACGGGTTTTTCTTCGTGAAAGCCTACCAGGATTCTTTCTTCGAAAAATGGGGGCGCCTTCGTGAGGCACTGGGCGCTGGGTAAAATTGAGGGATTTAATTCAATCGTCCATCTTTCTTCCGACGAGACTCGGGGCGCCCAGCTAATTAACACGCACCCGATTATCCTTCGCCTAACTGCGAATCGACTTAGCATTTTGGAGGAATATTACAACGATGGTGTGTTGGCGCCCATTTATATTTACTTTGTCTCCCCTTTGCATTCTTTGTGTTAACCTTTTATCTTTGTATGTGCAGGATCAGACTTCAGTTCCATCGGGAAGCTGATCAAAAGTCGGCTGGCGATGATGGCGGTCGGGGCGCCTTCTGCTGCTGGTGCCACCCGTACACAGGCGCCCGCGCCGCCGGTGCCCAAGAAGGGACGGGCGTCGAAGAAGGCCTCCACAAAGGTTGCCCCAACCTAGGCGCCCGTGCGCGCCAAGACTGTCAGCGTGGCGCCCTCTGCCCCCGAACCGGACGTCGGGGAACCTATCTTCGACCCTACTCCCGATGCCGAAGAATTAGAGGAGGAGGAGGTGCCCTCGCTAGTTCGAAGGGAGAAAAGGGCGGGCTCCCCCATTCCTCATGGTGGGAAGAAGACTCGCGAAAGCAAGAAGGGAAAGGCCCCAGCCGCGGCCCAAATCCCTGCTAGGGGACAAGGCGCCCGCGTCCACCTGGACGAAGAGGGGCGCTTCGTTGATGCTGATGGGCGCCCGCCTGTGATTCAGCCGAGGTGTACTGAAGTTGGGCACGTTGCCCTCCCCTGCTCTCCATTGTT